TGTAGTCAGGACTGCATGAGTTTAAAACAGTCCTGACTACACAGTTACACTAGGATGTTTACTTGTTCATTAAACTCATGCAGTCCTGACTACACAGTTACACTAGGATGTTTACATGTTCATTAAACTCATGCAGTCCTGACTACAGTTACACTAGGATGTTTACAGGTCCATATTAAACTCATGCAGTCCTGACCACAGAGTTACACTAGGATGTTTACTTGTTCATTAAACTCATGCAGTCCTGACTACACAGTTACACTAGGATGTTTACAGGTCCATATTAAACTCATGCAGTCCTGACCACAGAGTTACACTAGGATGTTTACTTGTTCAAAGAGTTTATGTAGGTTTATAATGCCTTAAAAAAATTCAAATCTAAATCTGTCCTTTTAGCTTATATAGTCGATCGTGTTCAGTCTGGCCGCCAGGATTATGAACTATAGCCTAACATCACGATATCCATTTCATCATGTATTTGCGACAGTGAGGCGAATATGATGCCACCTTTCTGAGAGACTTTTCCTAGATCATCTACTGTATGTTGACATGAGCTTTCAAATATAAGAAGTTCAGACGCACAAAAGTCCGTTGGATGTACATTATCTGTACGGTCATATTTCTATCAATGTGTGTAGGTCTCTGAATATTTTCCCACCTTTTTATAACTATATGTTTTTCTAACTTTCTCTGTTATATAAGTTATCTGTCACATATAGTGAAAAACACCTGTTGTACTTGAACATTGTGAACCTAGAGTAACTTGAAATCGTTAATGATACAAAGAGGAAGAGGTACGCACAATTTCATCGCGGTGCCTTTTTTTTGGGTCGGAGGGCACCTTTTCGTACTTTTGCGGATATGAGCATTGTTCTACATTGGCACTATTCTGAACTTTCTGCTGGCTTCGAAATGGCCTAGTATTTGGCTCAACACTACTTAATAATTGTCTGTATGAATATTCTCTTTCGAAAGATGAATGAAACACAGCTAATCTTCTGTATTAGGTTTTGTACGTTACAACAACTTGACAATTTATTGTACGTGATACTTCTATTCTATTGATTTTGCGAATGTATTCTAGAGTTATTGTGTTTGAATAATGAAAACGTATATTTACCTGATGGAGTGGCTAGCTATCTCGTTACCTTGCCGCCAGTACTCGTGAACCAGGGTGTAATCGTTATACTCGTGGGTGACAAAGAACGTTCCGGCTATTGGACACCCATTTTTCTTATTTTTTTTCCCGCTTAAAAAGATATCGTGGTAAGTAACGTTGTTTAGGATGTTTAACGCGTCATCGAACGTTAGGAGAATAAACTGAGGGATATCTTTCGTGCTAATTTTATGATAATCCAAATTATTACTCGCGCAGCGACAGTCTGGTATTTTGCAGTTCGAACCCTGCTCGCATTTTTCTTCTCCGCTAGCTGCCGCCAACAATACGCTCAAAAGTATCGTTACAAGCATGGTCACCCAGATACTAGTTCTTCTCGCTATTTAAAGCTGAGCGTTTGGGAGAGCAGCTGGCCGATTCTCACACTTTTGTTGATAAGTCTTCTTATTGTTTCGTAAGTTATAAATAAAGTGATTGGCGCATAGCGTTATGCAATTGTTATAATGAAAACACGTTCTTGCGTATTTTCACACGTTGAAAAAACGCGTAGCATGTCACACACTTAAGGAGATTCTAGGTATAATTTTACTAACTGCTATCTAACTTGTGATGTAATGAACATTTAAGCCTCTATATTTTTAAAGTATCAATAATTTTAATCTAGTTTAGTGTTTCTTGTGCTAGTGACACGATGATAATTCACCGTGTTTTACGATGTGGATCTTCTAATAAGGATAAAACAAGTTTCTGTATATAAGATAACAGTTTATTTCGTGTTGTAACTGTCACATAAAACAATACCAAATACATTTTTTTAAATTCTGTGGAATATTTCTTCCACCACATCAAAAAATTATTTTTCTTTGCTTTTTTGGCAGGAATACTGCCATCTATTGGTGAATTATGAAATTATTACAGAAAAATAATTAAAAATATAAAATCACAAAAACTAATGCAGCCTAATTACAACTTTTCAAAGACTAAAAAATACAAAAAAGTGATATCAGAAAATAATAGGCAAGGCTTAGGTTGCACTTGTAAATAAATACACCTTCCATTTCAGAAAACTATGAAGTAATTAAAAAAATATGTCTATTTCTAAGACAACATCACCTGAAAGATACAGTTTAAATAAACGTATGAAAGAATTGACGTAAATTTGTGACTGATATCAACATGTTACTTTGAGTATACACAACTAAAGGTGTAATGTTTATGGAATATTGTTATATACAGTTCACGAAGACAATTTTTACCCCAGGATATATAATACCATAGAGCAATTCATATAGTCATTCTCTACGTGTTATTATTTTATTATTGCTGCAGTGCTTTAGTGTGAAGGCTATATGAATATGGCGACTACAATTAAATCAGTGGTGAATGTTTCGCATGACCCGGTGGTTAGGGCATACGATTCGCAATCTATAAATCAAAGGTTCGAAACCGTCACTGAACATGCTCGTCCTTTCAGCCGCGGGGGAATTAAACTCGCATTTCGTTGGTAAAATGGGCCAAGAGTTGGCGGTGGCTGTTGTTGATTACTTGCCTTCCCTCTAGCTTATCATTTCAAAATTAAAAATGATCAGAGTAGATAGCCGTTGAGAAACTTTAAGCGAAATTCCACAAACAAGCAAGATACATCAGTTATGTGCAGGATACATCAGTTATGTGTACATAGCAAATGGACGAAATATAAAAATAAATCCCCAGCGTTTCAAATCTAGATACGTAATGTTTTGTATTGTATATTTGATATGTACTTTTAGTAGCCTTACTGCATGTGTTGGAAATAATGTACACTACAGCACTTTAAGCAGTGACAAGTTTTCTCAGGGTGGGGTCCAAATGAAACCTTGAAAACCACCCGCAAGGAAATGGGTGATTCCACTATTCAGAAAGTTGACTCACCCTTCATTCTGTTTGTAGAAAATTAACTCCTCCCCCCTCTAAAACTGTGTGTAATTAATAGGTATGTTTCACAGCAAGCTATTCTGTTTACAAAGATAAATGCTACACCAAAATGTCTCAAAGCATCTTTAATTCTTTCCGAATGAAGTATCTGAATCATAAGAACATTGGACACGAAATAATGCATTTTCCAGGCTCCACATTTCATGTACTACAACTATATTTATAGCCATTGGTCACATATATCCACCACAATAACTGACTACGTCTTTAAAACGATACTCAGCCTGCCAACAATAGAGGTTACAATCACTATATGAAGATTTATCTGTTTGCTAAACAGCCTGCCAACAATACAGGTTACAATCACAATATGAAGGTTTCTCTGTTTCTTAATCAGCCTGCCAACTATAGAGGTTACAATCACAACATTAAGGTTTCTCTGGTTGCCGGCCCTTGGTGTGAGTGACATGTGCCCCTGCACAGAGCGCCAAAATCGACATTACAATTAACAGTTCTTCCCAGATCCCCATCAAACTTAATTCACAGGGAATACTAAGTTTTGAGAGGTTCGCCTAGAGCCGACTCGGTTTAAATGACAGTTCCGTAATTCATGAACAGCCCCTAAAAAACAAATTGTACTTTAGTAATAAAATTAGGTAATACAAAATGATTTTTTGGATAATTACACAACTCAAAATCTTTCAAAATGTAATAGCTCAGTGGCGTCCTTTAAGGATCAGTTTGCAGGGATTTTCTTTGCAACAATATGAAGCAAAAAAATCCCGTAAATTTCAATATTGAGGTTTCGTAAATACCTCATTGAAACCCCACGTAAACAAGTTTAAATGCTTCAGTTTCGAAAATTAATACCCGCCACTGACAGCCTAGATGGACCAATAGGTCTCTTGTTGTTCCTAAACGTTATGTAATCATAATATTTTCAAAATGTGCTTCTTTGAAATTCGACATCACTACAAAATAAACTCAAAATTGATATTACCGACTACCATTACTATTCTATGTAGCATCTCCCCAATGGAGAAGTAGTAAGTTTACGGATTTGTAATGCTAAAATCCGGGTTTCGATCCCTGGTGGTGGATAGGGCACAATTGACTCATCGTGCAGCTTTACGCTGAAACAAACTTACGCACTTTAAGTAACACGTTATATTACACAATATGGGTATGTTTATATCAAGAGGATCTTATAAAATCCATATAATTAAGTGTATCACCAGAGCACTGTACGAAAAAAAAACACGAAACTTCCAGGTAGCTTAAAAAACGGAAGTGAGTATATCCCACAATATACTTTATCAGACTTCAATCGTGTGTCATCATAATGTACTTAGTTGTGTTAGATGTTCGAGCAAGCGTAAACAAGGGTTATCTGAGCCAGCCGTTCCAGGTTTTAAACTGATAGACTGAAGGGAAGACTGTTAACAGCACCCACCGCCAACTCTTGGGTTAGTGTAATGAAAATTTGACCGTCATCGTATAACGCGCCCACGTCCCTAAAGGCGGATCACGTTCTTGCGGCAACATGACGCGAACCATGGACCCTCAGATACACAGTCAAGGTACACTAAGTCTCGTTTGGCCCGCACGTAGTAGTATTTATTGGACTTTGCTCTCAACGTACCGTTTGTAATAAAAATGTTACTCTATGTATCACATGTACCACTAAACAAAAACTTTATAGGTAATTTCATGTAAAATGAGGAATAAACATTAAGCCTAATATTCAAAAATACAGTTACCTCTAGCGCGAGGAAAGATAAACTTAAAAAATCATGGGTGAGTTATGATAGTGGTGGTCAACCCCTTAGCGAATGGTAGGGTGCTGTTGATTGGCTGCCTTACATCTGGTTAATATTTCAAAATTAGGTACCAACAGATGGTGCATTTTTAATACAAATTCCTCAAAGTCTTATTCACCGACATTTGACAGATGAAACTATTAACGAATACCAAATAATATGTTGAATGGGTTAAACTAAAACAAATTGTTACCCTAACACTTTCTAAAAATGGTGGTTCACTAATTAAGGAAAAGACGATTCAAATAAAATAATTTATTACAACTATTTGTATTTTGTATGTAACGGCAAAGCTACTAAGCCTATCTGCCGCCACCCCTACTGAATTTATTACTTGTGTAAAATGACGGTTTTCACTAGAAAATCACTGAATGTAGTATTGTTTTGATTGTCCGGTTGCTCATACTCAACGATACAGCTAAAAATCCACGGTAAAAACGTATGGAACAATTTATGTGTTGCAAAAATATTTACATAAAAATTACCACTTCTTCATCGAAATGCACGAATAAATCCAATAAAAAAAAGTTACGTTTACTGTAAAAATTTACAAGTTGATTTCCTAATTTACTATGCCCACCAGTAAGTATTAGGGCTTATGACGCTAAAAATCGATTTCTTTACCCGTGGTGGGCATAGTACAGACACCCCAATGTGTAGCTTTGAGCTTCACAAGAAAGAAACAAATAAACAATTTACTATAGTACGTGTAAAAAAAAAAAGATTGAAACGCTATAGGCCATTTTTTGCGCAGTACTTCTGACTTTACCCTGGCATACAATGTAGACTGCCGTTACACAGTGCATTACGCTCATTTCCAAAAGATTTTGATAATGACAAACTTGAAGAATTAAAAAAGAAAAAAGTAGATTTTTAATGTTTAATAACAGTACTGACATGTGCAACAGTTTAGTTCATTTAAGTTTTAAAAGCTAATAGTATATTTCATTTTCTTATTTACTATATTGATAATACACTGTTG